TGATGCAGGTAGTGCAGTAAATAAGAAACACTAAATAAGTCTTCCTTACACTGAAAATAAAGGCACCTAGAAAAATCCTATACGCTCGGAAGCATAGGAAATATTTGTGCCTTTTCCTCCTGCCCTTTTGAAGAGGTTGCTACTTCAGTCGCAGGCAGACATTACAATGGATAATAGATAACAAAGAGGATTCACATTCTTGGCACTCAGTCAATTAAAAGAAATGCCAATTGCATTCTGTGAATATTCCCATGGTGCCAAACCATAAGAGAAGCCTGTGAGTGGGAGGAGTGAAGGTGTGATAATTGAAAGAATTGCCACTTGATAAGTCACAGGAGCTAACGCTTTAGCTCAGCATGCAAGGAAGCTAGAACGTTCCCAGCTGCTGCAAAAAATGGGTGTACGGGATCCCTGGCACCACTCATTGGGACAAGATGAATCACAAATGCTTCGGTAGTGAGCTACCGTGTCACAGGGAGCCAGATGGAGGTGGTTACTTTCCTGATTGATTGCCTCCTGGGCTACCACGGGCTTTTCCAGCAGGCTAATTCCTTTCTGCTGGCACTCGATGCCCGGGTCAGCGCCATGCAGGAATTCCTGCTTCTCGGGTACGTCTCTGCCCCGCTGAGGTAGAGGGAAGCAAAGAAGAAGCAAGAGAGAGAAAGGGAGTCTACAAGGTGCACCCAAGTAACACTGACTCCCTAATAGATGTGGCTGCTAATGAATTTTCAGGCACGTGCTGAGTTAAGGGGATGAACAACGCTGGAACATCCTTTAGTTAAACCCAGTGCTTTTACAAAGGCTAATTGAAAAAGGAAGGAGCAGCAGGGGTGGGGGTGGAACAAGGCAGAAGAGGGGGCAGAGGGGGAGAACAGCTCTATTTTTCAAGTGCTGAATATGAAATCCCTGCAACAGATGAGTTTACATGCAAGTCTGCACCTCATCAGGGCAAAGATACAGTGAGTGGAGTCAAGTAATTTTCCTCTGCACACAGCACCCCCAGCCCCTTACCCTGCCCAGCCAGCTTTCTCAACTGTGAGCTTTAGAATATAAACAGCCAATAAGTAAGGACAATAACTGTAGTTCCTGCTGAGAGCTAACTCTGCCTGTCATGCATTTGCTGGGTCCTAATACAGGACAGTGAATAAAGCTTCATTACAGAACAATGGAGTTAGCTGCCAGAGCCTACAGATTTGAATAAACAACAAATAAGCAACATCTGCTCCAGCATATGTGTATGGTAAAAAAAAAGTCACAAAATAAAAGAATTTGTAAATGCCAAAAGCAACACTAAACTGCCAGTGCTACTGTAGAGTGAATTTTTAATTGCACATGCATACAGGCAGGCTGTGGGTATTAGTCTCACATATGTCTGGTTGCTGCCAACCTGGGAGTATAGATGAATTTAATTAAATAAGGATTATCCCTTCTCCCCAGTACAATTACTTATTTATAACAATGATAAAATTGCCTAATAAAAAAGATTGTAATATTTTTTAAAACAGAGCTAGAAAACACTCTGCTTTCCCTGTAAGTCATTTGGGGATGTTTGGGGGTTTCAGCGTCTTTTAAAATTAAGTCTCAGCGTTCTGCCAAGAGAGAGGGAAAAAAAGCCTTATCATAAAGCCTACTGCAGTTAAACAGCCAGAATCTACATTATGGGGAAATATAAAGAAGACACACAGCAGCCAGGGAATTGGCTTTCATGGGGAGTGTAGAAAATTAAGCAATTGGACTAAAATTGAGGCCAGGCTACAGAGCCAAGGGACAATACCACAGGGACAAGCACTTCCATAAGTCACCCGTCTCTAATATGCTCCATCTAGGCAAAGCAGTCTGTTCCTATCTATCTCTATTTCTTCTCACGGTGGGCACCTCATGCTTCTCCGCTCAGGTAAGATCCCATTTCAGCAGGGTCATGCCAGGCTCCAGCACATTCATCATTGCTCTCATACCCCTTCTCACAGAGCCCGCAAACAAATGAGAGTGGGTCCTCAACGCCATCAGGCACTGCACTGGAACTGCCTTGAAAAACAGGCAGCCTGTATCCCAAACGATTTGCAGTCTAAATCTAATTTCAGGCGTGTTCCCCTGGGAGATGAGGTTTTCCCTGCGTAGGCTCCTGATGGAACCTGGAGCACGTTTCCCACTAGCTCCTATTTCGAGGGTCCCTGCTTATGGGTCTGAGACAAATTCTGCCAATTGAGCAGGAATCCTTGTAAGAGCTAGTGTTATTCACTGCTAACGACAGTGCATTCATAATCGCTGAGTTTCGACTGCTTCCATGATACAAAGCAAATTGAAGTAGTAACAAGAATCCCATGGGTATGGAGGGGCACGTCATTTAGAAGCAGTGGGAAAAAGGCAGAGAACATGAATAAAGCCCATAAAAGAGACTTTAAATTTAGGCCAAGCATCAACAACTCTAAAACAGCAGAGAAAGGAAGAAGGAAAGATTCCTCTCCTCTAAACTCTAAAACATGTTGCTGAGAAGGCAGAAATCTTAAGTGCGGTTCAATTGTATTATAAACTGATCACTTAATTGGATAGGAGTCATATCAGAACTAAAAAGAAATGATGACTTTCCTCTTTCTCTGTTATGAAATTTTTACCAAATGCTCAGGTTGCTCCAAAAGTAATGCCTCTATTTATTTCCGTGGACGCCATAACAAAGAGCACAATAACACCATTTGATAGAGCACATTCTCAGCTACAGAATGTTCTTTTTCAATACAGTCCCCACCATTAGCTATATACTATATATATTTCCTTCAGCCATGAACAGCCTGCATGCTGTGCTTGTAACAATGTACATCAGCCAGGATTACCCATGGTCACTGTCACTACTGCTGAAACGCTGCCTCACTGAGCTCACATCTACTGTTTGGTCCCCGTAAACGTTCAGCAAGCATTAATGACTGTCAGTGAGTGACAATTTTTTGCAATGGAGGAGTTCAATGACACACCTTTGCCTCATCCACACTTCCATGTCAGGCACCATTCTGCCATACTGCCCCTCTGCTGCCATCTGTCACATGGCAACAACATGTAATGGGATTGTGTTGGAAGTTTCACCCCCTGCTGCCATTCCAGCAACATCCACTATGGGTGTCATGTGCCAATACAGTAAAATAAGAGGCATTATTTCTGGACCAGCCCTCATACATGCTTATTCCTGTCTTAAAAGATTATTCAGGGTATACAGTTGATTTTTTTTCTTACATCATGATCAGTATACTTCTATAATTTTCAAACGCCTTTAACTAATGCCTCTATCATTAAATAGTGTAGCCACAATTTATAGCTGGGCAAAGAAAGGAAAAAAACTTTCTGGAGTACGATATCACTTTTTAAATATCTTCTCAGCAAGCTATGTCCACATTCTCTTTTGTTCATTTCTCACTGAACGTTTGTCCAAATGGTGGTTTTGACTGCACAAGTCCTGGGGAATTGCTATTCTTTGTACAAATACTGCTACAAGCAAGACTATTGGTATGGGGCTCATCTTTGTTTGTAAAGATCAAGACATTCAGCAGAAAGCAAAATCAAAGCGACTTAATGTAAGTCAGGTGACAAATTACACAGCCTGCACAGCCTCAAGGATGACATGAGGCCACAGATATCATTGGAGACAAGCAGTTACAGAATGAAAAAATACAACCTTACCAGAAGATGTGGCAAGAGGAATTGGCTGCCATAGGTACAGCATCTATTACAAAATACATACAAACACACACAGAGAAGGAAAAAACACAAAAACCCACCCCCAAAACAAAACTTGAAAACAAAAAGAAACCCTCGAGATCCAAAGGATTCGTGATGTATTCAATTACAGTTATTCAGCTCCTGCATTGACCAAGAAAACTCTTACACGCACTGATGAAATCACTGGCTTAACTGAAGTCAGTGGGACTTTGACCACTGCCTTCAAAAGGCTCATGACTTCACTCCTGTACATCCAACTGTTGCTCCCATCAGTGACATAATTAAATGATTGGCACCAATAGATAGCTGAGTTGTTTTTTTTTAAGATATGTATTTATGCATTTGAGTGGCTTAATTATGTGTGCCAGCTCCCCAAAATTGATATAATTTAGTCCTCAAAAGTCAAGGACTCATCAAACTTTCACCTTTTTTTCCTTTGCTGCTTCATTCACACTACTTATAGTTCTTTCATACAAAATTTCTGTCCCTTTAAAAAAAGAAAAAAAGAAAAAAATACCTGTCAGTCCTACTCTGAGCATCAATTTAGCAAAGTTTTCTAGAGAACAAGGCCAAACACTCCATATTCTGGAGACTGAACAGCCACCTTCCCCAGTACCACCACCCCTGCCAGCAAATGCTTCCCAGGACCCAAGCTCAGATAGCCTCCAATGGCAGCGTAACATCTGGTGTAACAGCTTCGTGTTTAATCCTTTCACACACTCCTCAAACAATTATTTTCTAACACAATTCAGTGCTTTGTCTGCTCACGTGATGACAGTGCATGTGGTGTAGGGGACTGATGATGAAGCAGAGGCCATGCTGCCACCAGAATGTCACGGTTGTGTAGTCCTGGTTGAGTTGCATATAGAGCGGTTGCAGAGCTGCTCCAACCTCCAACTTCATGTTTGATCCTAGATCTGGGAATTGGCAGGTAAGGGGTCATTTGGACCTGACAAATGAATCCCTGAGTTGGAGTGAAGCTTTTGTGTCACCTGTAAGTGCAGAGAGGTCTGATTAAAGTATATGGATGCCCCAGACCCTCGAGGCTTTGCATGTGAGGAACTTTCTTCGGGTGCACTCGCTGTGTCTCCCTGACAAGGTGAATCTATTTTACATGCCTGTGATTTATCAAGTCTAGTTTGGCCATGCTAGACTTACATCTAGAATAACACATCCAGTGCCAGGAGTGATGGCAGCAGAGAGGGAAAACATATTAGGAGAAGCTTTAGAAGAAACTACGTGGGAACACTGCTTTAAAAAAAAATCTGGCAAAATGTCAGTATCTTAACACTCACTTGAGGTGGTGTCAGGAGTATTTCCACATGGAATTTCATCCTCAAAGCTCTGAATCTGCAAAGGAAGAGGAAAAATTCATATTGATAGTAATGATTAGTGGGGATGGGAGGAAAGGAGCTGGAAAACAAAACAAAAAAAAACCCCAAAAACTAGATGTTTCAAAGTGAAAACATTAGATCTTTCAGCTTGGTTCATTGTTGGGTTGTTTATTTTTTAAAAACATTTGTTCTTGACATAAAGTAGTCTGTGAAGCCTTCCAAGAGTTCCTCAGGTTATCAATAGATAAATGATTCCAACCTGGAAGTGCATTAACAATCTTGTTTGAACAGCCTCAGAGAAACATCCCTGAAAAAAAACCTGTGACTTAGTAGAAGCCCAAAGACATACAGCCATATGGAGGCAAATTCCTGCCAAATAGTGGATGTAAGGTCAGAATATTTTTTTCCTCTTAAGAATGAAAACCTGTTTGTCTTTTTCATGGCATCAGTAGGAACACTTTAACATGATACTGCGTAATCTTCCTTCAAGGAAAGTCTTACTAGAAGAGGGATCCATTCCATGCAAGTAATGCATACACATACAGGCTAGGTGTATCCTAGATGCAGTCTGCAGCTTCAGAGATCTCTAAGTCCCTCCTTGTCAAAGGCCAGGGAGAGAAGGATCACTCTCTACACAACTGTTTCTTTTTCTCTCTTCCAGACATATGCTAATGGCCACTGTCAGACTAACAGTGTCTAATCCTTTCAGCCAGTGCACTGCTCTTACAGCCTTAATGTAATGATGTGGTAGAGAATATCCAGAAGTTAAACAGTGTACACACCACCTAATTGAACATGGTACAATAGTCTTAGGACATCAAACTGAGGAGTTTGCTGTTACGTGCATTCACTACTCTGTCAATATCTTCCTTTCTATGTAAACCTCTAGTCACAGAGCTGCAAGTCCAGCATGCTGAGTGCTTTGCAAAGACATACGGGCTGCTTTGCGACTATAAATTTGCTGTGCCAGAGATCTTTGAAAGACACTGTCTCTCCCACTGAGGTTGAAAGTCAGGCCCAAATACCGACTCTTGAGTCAGCTCTGCCCATACAAAGGCTGCACCAAACCTTTCATGGAAAAATATCTTTGTGAAGATTTGAAAAGATAAACATTCTTTCTTCAAGAAGAATGCCACTACCTTAACTTCATCTGTTCCAACGTTTTTGAAACTGGAAAAACTTCTGGGCCACCTTCTCCAGTGATTTTCTGCTCCTTCCTCCCCTCCCTCCCTTCCTCACTCCCAAGTTCCCTATGTTTTCAGAGGGTTGTCAGCTACCTCGTTTCTCCTACTTTCTATGTTTCCTACAAAAGAACTGTAAGACTCCTTCCTTCTCCTCAGTCATGAAAGATGGCTGGAGAGAATGGCAAGAGCGTTCCTGTCAGACCCACTCTGTGTGATTGGAGGTAATCACACTGTAGTCCTTTTTCTGCAGTAGTGTGGAGAGAAAAACTGCTGCTGACACAAATCTAGATGTAATTAGGGGACTGGCAAGTGTCCTGGTCTCTGCTACTTCATGTTGAACCCTGCTGACAACCCACTGTTGCTAAAACACATAGATAGCTGAGTACCATGGACTTTGCTGACAGCAGATATGAGAACAAGCTGCTGTTCTGATTTATTCTGTTTTTAGGATGCTCAGCTTACAGAGTGATAAAATATTTCAAACACTGCTATAAAACCAAGGATAATTTTGTGATGAAACTTTCCGAAAAAGCACACCAGAACATGAGCACAGGGGAAAGAAATAAAAAAGAAAAACCACCAATCCAACGAACTGGTTAATGATTGGATCTGTAAAAATAACCCTTACCATCTGTATTAGTGTTCCTGCAACTTCCTTCTGTAAAAAAAAAAACTCCAGCAACCTGGCACTGCATAAAACATATTGGCATCTTACACTATCATACTGGTTGAATGAATCCTACCTTAGTAACTTCAGTGCCAACTTCCTTGACAGTCTCCCAACACAATGACAATTCAAAATAATCAAAACCCCAATGAGAAGAGTAAATCCCACTGTTTTTCCCCATAATGCTGCAGCATGGTGTTTGAAGTCATTTACTCTAGCTTCCATCCTGAAAAAGACAATCCAAACCTATATAATAAATACAGGTAGGGAGAAAGTGCCAGCAAGCAATATACAAAAATCCACCTCACCTCTTCCATTTCAAATGAATCTGGAGGCCTGCAGTTTAGACCTGCCAATTTTTTGAGCATCTGGGCCAAAAGCAAATGGGGCTCTTTTCTTGGCCCGTCTTTGGCAGGTGCCTCACGTGGAGAAGAAAGGTGGAGCTGTTTTGTCACTAAACACGATGAAGCACAGGTTTTCCTTGGCAGAGCTGGCGGGCACTGGGATAGGGGATAAGCTGAGGAACCTTTGTCTCTACAGGTTTGCTCCTGGGACAGGCAGCGCAAGGTAACATGTGCAGAAAATCCTGCCTGGATTGGTTCCTTCTCAGCAATATCCACACAAAGGTGAGGCTGTTCTTCTGTGCCTGGCATGCTGACTTCCTCAGGTGCCAGCGAGCCCAAGTTCAGCAGTGTTGTCTGCTGAGAAGCCCTTCTCAGGAGCTGACCTATTCTTCTCCTCTTCGCTTGTGTGACCACAGATCTGCTCTTCACAGCATTCAAATGACTGGTCACATTCCCACCAGCTTCCTGTGCTTTGGTCTGCTGGGTGTTCACATCAGTCAGCAAAGATGAGAGGGCACTGGTGATGTGGTCAAGTACTTCCAGTTGTCGAAAACGTCCTTAAGTTTGTCATAATGAAGGGCAACACGGTTATAAAAACAAAAACAAAACAAATAATTGGCACCAGTGATTATTCAAACTTGTCACTGCTAAGAAACATACTAAGTATCTGATTAAAAATTGGCTGAATTTTTCAATCTGCTTCTGTTCAGACATATAGGTCTGAACTAAAGAGAACTGCTGCACAGTTCTTTGTGTCAGCCAAACACACAGTGTTGAGTTCACTGGGACAAGTACATCTGAATGCTGCTCTGCATGAATAAAAGTTACAGAATCCAGCCTGAAGTTCTCCAGCTGGCTGGACCAGACTTGGATGCCATATCTGAAGACTAATTAAAATTCATGAGAATCAGGTTATTATAAAATCTGATCATAAACATTTTCTGCTGGCTGTTGTCCAGGATAGCTGCAAAATGCATACGTACTGATAAATACGTATCGATAAAAATCGACCATACATGCTATGCCCTCATTTTCAGAGCATCACAACATACTTATCTCCCAGAAACTCACAGCTGACATTGTATATAGGTTACCTTTAAAAAAAAAAATAACAATTGCATCAAGCTTTTGTAATTTTTGCCATTTTTTTCCACAGAGTAACATAAAAAAAGAAATGAACTGTGTCTTCCCTAAGAGACCCTGGAGAATTCCTTCTCTGCAACACTATCAAGTTATTTATACAAGGAAATTCAACACATTTGTTTGAGTATTGTGTCTGCCTCCATCCCGAGGCAATGAATATGTCACCAGGACTTCTCCTTCCTTGAGAGATTCATTGAGGACAGTAGATGGCAAAACGCTCACATACTTGGCTGCCATTTCTGTTAGAGAGCAGCCAGATTTACTGCATGCAGGCTGTTGGTAATGCTGCTTCACCAATAATTAAACAAGGGGGTACTTACCACGGATCTGAGTCAGCCTTTTGCATCAAGGATCAATATCACAGTCTGCAATTCCTTAGAATAGCCTGTTTGAAAATTCCCCAGATACCACCTGGTTTTTAAATCCAGAGGAAGATGTTGCCATTGCTGCCACTTTTTAAGACATGGTTGAAAGGTTTTGCTTAAAGCTGTTATTTGACCTATGAGCACGGAGTGTTGGATAACGTGTTGGGTATTTTCCACGTGCCTAAGTTTGGGACATCGGGGTAAATCATTTTGTGCATCCACTGTGCTATGACATGCTCTCCATGTAAAGCTGTTTCAGCCTCAGTATTTTATCTGGCTCCCACTACATCAGGAGGCCCTAAAAATTACAACTGCTAATTTCCTTTGACTGACAGAGGCAGAGCAGTCCAGACATTCTGATTTGAACCAGAACCAAAACTGCTGCAGTTTGAAATAGTTTTCACATTTTTACATACTGCTTAACTTTGGTGAACTGTATCAAAGAGTTTGTGAAATCTGAAGTTACAAATCAAACGACCAAGAAATGACACAGGTACAAAAAAGTCATCTTGTTCATGTGCAATGTCATGAAGAAATTATGTCAAGGACAGCCTTGTTTTCTGGACTTTTTCTTTCCAGGGAAGCTGTTGCTTTGGTTTCTAGGGATGCTCCCCAAGGAGCCTGTCTCAAATAGGCAAGAATCTGATACAAACTCCCTGGTCTCTGAAGCCTGCTTCAAAATAGTCTAAATCTGTACCACAGGTGAGATCCTGAAGGACATAACTGCAGAATCATTTTCACTAGAAAGTTCAGATGCATCAGCAAATGGCCCTGCTGTAAATAAGATCAATGAATCTTCAACAGAATCTATACTTTTCATAGAAATTCTGATGACTTTACTATGATTTACCAGTTTAGAATTCAGGAGGAAACATCCACAGTTTTGTTACTCCTTCCCTAAATCTGGTACTACACAGGCCAACATGGTTATCTGCACAAACGACCCGCAAAGTCTTCAACAGGCTCAAAGAGGAATGAAGGAACACAGATGTTTCCATAGTCATTGAGAACTTTCAGTCAGTTTTTTTTTTTGTTTTTTTTTTTTTCCATAGCAAATGCAGAATTTGGAAAAATCAAAATGTTCAGAAAAAGAAAAAAAAAAAAAGATTTACCTGAAACTGATGTTCTTCTCATGAAAAAAATAAACGGAAATCTCTGCATTTTCCATTTTGTCACATGTTAAAGTGTTTTCCTACTTTAGGCTGCTTCTTCTTGAGCCTTGGCAATACTGTCGTTGCTAGAACTGAAGCAGTAGCTCAGAGAATGTATTTAGCAATTTGTATTACATTTCTTCTCTAGGGATGCTTTTACTGGCTAATACCTATCACCTGTGATGTGCACCTCTCCTTACCAGCTTAACTTCACTATAATGGTGGTGAGGCCCTGGCTAGGGAAGCTGTGGTGCCCCGTCCCATCAAGGCCAGGTTGGATGGAACCCTGGAAAGTCTGAGCTAGTGGGTGGCATCTCTGCCTTCATCAGGCAGAGGATGGTCTTTAAGGTCCCTCCCAAAACATTCTGAGATTCAATGAAATGGGTGAAAAATCCCTAGAAACAAGACAGAAAACCCTGAGTAAATTTAGATACAGCAGTAAGGAAAAGTTACACTAAAATGAGTGGGGTTTACTTTATTTTAGTTGTCAGATTGAAACACGTAAACATTTTTGAACTAGAATGCCCACAGACCTGAAGTTTTCATAGAATCATAGAATCACCAAGGTTGGAAAAGACCTAAAAGATCACCCAGTCCAACCGTTCACCTATTCCCAATAGCTCCCACTAAACCATGTCCCTCAACACAACATCCAGCCTTTCCTTGAACACCCCCAGGCTCGGTGATTCCACCACCTCCCTGTGCAGTCCATTCCAGTGCCTGACCACCCTTTCTGAAAAATAATACTTCCTCATGTCCAGCCTGAATCTCCCCTGCCGTAGCTTGAAAGCTTTTCAAAGAGTTTCTGGATCAATATACTCAAAAATATCTTTTTCTTTTTTTTTTTTTTTAACTTAACTTGATTCTCAATTGACTTTATTTCACCAGTTAGGTAATAAAATGTCTCTTCTAATGACGACAGTAAAATTTTCACCATCAGTGAATGGTGGGGATAAGTTCTTTCAGACCTGAGATAACCTACTGATGAATGACACTGTTGAAAATGCAGCTTATTCTTATGAACTGGACCATTTAAAAACTCCTTGACAGTGCTTAAGCATCAGCACCAAGCAAGGAGACAATTAACAAACAATTCTGTAACAACACACATGTATTTTAAAAAGCCAAATCAGCAATGGAGCAGCTCTAGAAAACTATCTGCATCACAGTAAGGGAAGAACCAAACAGAAAGAAGAGGATTGCATTAGGAAATGAAGGAAATAGGGAAATGGAGAAAGATCACTCTGGTATGGAAGTTTACTGGTTTTTCTTACCTCACTCTCCTTTTTTTTCCCTCCTTCACTCATACAGTTCCTACAATCCTTTTCCTCATCTTCCACTTTCTTGGACTAACACGTCATACTAAATCAATTAATTTTCTCTGCTATTTCAGGAGTAAGTAAACTGACAGCATTTCTCAGTCATTCACTAATTCAGATTAAACACTTTTCTTTTTTGGTGTATAGAGACAAACGAGAGCAATTTAGTGACAACAAACCAAACTAGGTGACAATATCTGAATTCATCCAGCACATCTTATATGTCTTTACGAACAGTGGCTTAATATGGGCTTGAAGTCTCTAAAGGCAGCATGCAGTCTGCATCATTTTGGTACTTTTATCTCAATATGAAATGGTCCTGTGACAGTAAAGCAGCTGGGGTACCCTACAAGGTTCATGGAAAGGTAAACACCATGGAGCATCTCTAGACCTGAACTATCTACTTAATTTACAGGGAAGAATCTTTTTCTCTATCATCTTCAGGAAGCTTTCTTCCAAAAGAAGAGCTGGATCACTAAATGCTTGCAAATTTAGGTGCAGTCTTACTGCTGAAGGCAGATAGACTAGATTCTAGAAGTAATCAATTTTCCAAATCTGTTAAACATGAGTTTTCCATTTCTCCTTCTTGCTGTACTTCACTACAAAATTTTTAGGCAAGGAAAGGATGGCAAGATTAGAAAACAGAGTTTGCAAGCAAATGTCTTGAAAGCCTGTTTGATGATATCCCTCATAATTTTGCACACTAAAACTGATTCATCCTTTTAGCAGTAAATATTCTCTTGGAATCTCAGTTATAGGAAGGTGCATGTGCTAGATTGCCTATGTGGTCCCATAGACCGCCTGACTTCTGATAGGTGTTTGAAACTGCGGCTCAATTATGACCCATGGGAGGTGCCTGACTCTCCATTCACTATGAAAATAGACTCTGTTGTGATTACGATCCTTGAGATGGTGCTTCAGCTAAATGCCTATAACTTGGTGCAGAGGTTATGAGGTTAATCACCACATGTAATGAAACACGTAGAGTCCGTGAAGAGAGAAGTATGAATCTCTGAAGGATGGATGTCACCTCACTTGCTTAAATGCCCAGGCACATACTTAGGAAGCCTACACAGATGGTGTGAAAATCCCCTCCCAACCTGTCAAAAGCAAGAAAATATGTTTTGATGGACATCACACCCATCAAAATAGAAATTGAGACCTTAGCTAACTTGACAGCAGCTCTCCCATACAGTGCAGCCATTAACCTGTTCTAAGAGTGCTCCCATCAAGGACTACTGCAAAGTCTGGTCCTTAATTCGCACCTTGGCTTATCACTGCTTACATTAGCTGTGCAAACTCCTTCCCTAGAAGCTCCTTCCTCTCATTCACTCTGAGCTCTCTACCTTCTTGGCACAATAGAAGGAAGGGATGCCATCCAGAGGGACCCAGACATGCTCAGAAAGTGGGCACACAAAAACATAGTGAGGTTTAACAAGGCCAAGCGCAAGGTGTCACACCTGAGTCAAGGCAAACCCAGATACAAGTATAGACTGAGACAAGAACTCATGGAGAGTTGCCTTACAGAGGACTTGTGAGTCCTGATGGCAGCAGTGTGTACTTGCAGCCTGGAAGGCCAAATGTATCGTGGGCTGCATCAAAAGAGAGGTGGTCAGCAGGGAGAGGGAGCTAATTGTGCCCTTGTGAGGCCTCATCTGCAGTACTACAGTTGGGCTTGTTTAGCTTGGAGGAGAGAAGGCTCTGGGGAGACTTCATCATGGTCTTTCAGTACTTGGAAGGGAGCGTATAAACAGGAGCAAGACTGACCTTTAACACAGTCTGATAGTGATAGGACAAGGGGGAATGGCATTAAACTAAAAGAGGGGAGATTTGGGTTAGATGTTAGAAAGAAATTTTTTACTCACAGGGTGGTGAGGTCCTAGGACATGCTGCACAGAGAGGCTGTGGGTGCCCCATCCCTAGAGGTGTTCAAGGCCAGGCTGGATGGGATCCTGGGCAATCTCAGATGGTGGGTGGCAAGCCTGCCCATGATAAGGCTGCTGGAACTAAAATGATCTTTAAGGTCCTTTCCGATCTAAGCCATTCTATGATTCTTCCTTGAGGTCTCTATCCTCCATCTACTCACACAGATTCTCTCTCTTTCCTCTGTTTTTCCCTCTCAGGAGTTACAGAGAGAAAGAGTGAGAGCTGAGAAACCTGTTTGATGTGTCAGTTTGCTGTAAATATTGAAATGTGTGCACAGGCCTTGCTATAAAAAGAGAGAGAAAGAGGGAAAAACACATTTTCCATGATGCTCTGACATTTCTTTTTCAATTCTTATTCCATCCATACCACTTCTTCAGCGTAATTCTAAACAGGAATGCATGGACTACACGAGAGATCCTGCTTCCTTGAGCATCTTAAATAAACAGAAGATTTCAAGAGCCATCTGGTTATCCTGTGCAGCAAACATGAGGGGAAATGATGTCAAAATTGGACTTTTCAGATGGGCGATATAGCAGAGAATTAACAATGCTATTTTAATGCTGATAGAACTTCAGGGTGAGGACCTTGTATTCATTTCTTAACTGCTAAACACACAAAATGGAACTAGGACCATCTACAGCAAATAAAAATCAAGCCTGTCTGCTTTAAATGGTGCAATCTTATTGCGCTTAAAATAAGATTCTCATCCATATTAGGGCATATTTGAACAACCAAACTGTTAGGTTATAGCTAGAGATTTGCGGGTTTGATGCATGAGCCCTAGCAGCCCTAGTGATGGGAGGCTGGGATCTTGTCAGCTGCTCTGCACATTTCCCTGTGAAAGGGGTCCTGCTCCCACAAAAGGGAAAAGGGAATGAGAATTCTTGATATCAACTAAATACATGTCCCTTTTTCTATACTTTCTCTAATAAGCCTCTTCTCCACCCGCTCAGTCCCCATGCTATTTATTTTACTTCTTCTAAAGAAGTAAAATAAATTCCTGGCTAAAATTCCTTCTCCACTTACCATACAGGTTTGGCAGCTCAATGTCCATCCGCTGCTTTTGAGCTTCCAAAAAGACTCGGATGTCAATACCTTTTGCCACAGAAGAACCACTGAGGAACCTCGGAGGGATTTTAGTGCAGACATCAGGTTCCTCTGTACCAAACCCCAAATCAAGGAGAATCTCCACTGGATCCTTTTCACACAGTGACAGCCATTCAGTGATGCTGTGGGGGAAACATCAGGATAATTTACACCATTATCTTGGTACCACTTTTCTCTTGCAATACTTATTTTTTTTTTGTTAAGTAATTCTCTTCTGTTCTCTACTCTTGCAGAGACTTAAACAAAGTGGTTATTGTCAGACACAATGCTAAGAGATTAGCAATGGTTTCTTCCTCCAGAGATATCTAGTGCTCTAGTATCTAGAGAGCTTAGCAAGAGAAACATTAATAAAAGCTGTATGTTTATGGCAGGCTCACTTTGTTCAAGACATGATACAGGTAAGATGCTGCAGCTGCCATAAGATCTTGAAGTCTTTTATCAAGCAAGGAATTCAAAGAACAATGAACTTTGAGGCAGGTTTTTGTGTTTATTTGTTTTTCTACTGTAAATGCATTTGAGAGCAGACACCAGTTATTAAAGAGGGCACTTTGACCACTTTAAAGTAAATAAGATGATTTCAATGAACTAGAACTTGGAACTGCATGTTCCAAAAAATTGTAACCCTATTTGTTGATCCCTAAATGGGTGAATTCCATGCATTCCCAGCCGGAAACACATGGAAGTGACTAACCTCTGTGGTCCACCAGTGTGAGAGCGGGAGCATCTGAGGCTGTTGCATCTTGACATAACTGGGCTTTCAGAAAATTCTTGCAGGGATCTGGTTGGAAAAAAACAATAAGGAAATGCATTCACTCGTGTGCTCCTCTGGGATATCATTATGATTTTTTCCTAGAGTAAACATTTGCATTTTGTCTTCGTTTATAATGATACATAATAGCAGTGCCTTAGAGTCGTCATGAGAGCGTGGCAATACGCTTGTTCTCAAGAACAGTATGTTACAGTAGGTGTGAGAATGTAGGTGTGAGGTACCAGTAAATGCTAATTATAAAGGTGGCAGAATGGCTCACTTTTGACAGATGGTGAATCTTTCGGGAACCTTTCAGGAGCACGGTTTCTTTAGCCACCTACTTTAAAAAGATGTAATTGCTCTGAACAAAGTTTTGGAGAGACAATGAGCTGCAGCAGTAGGAGTGGCATCTGAGAACAATGCTTTACTTAGCTTCTCATTGTGTTTGTAGCCAGTAGTCTGCAGAGAAATATCTGTTTTTTAGAGCCTGCTCACTGCAAAGGCATAACAATCTTTCTTAATAGGAACGATAACACACTTTTGCTAGACTCAAGCTTAATTTTACCTACATGTATCTATTAGGATAAGTAACAAATGTTCATTTTTCTCATTGCAAGTTGACCCTCAGCTCAAGTCTTAAACAGGCCACAAGCAATATGTAGGTTTCTGAACTAATGCTGTTGCTATCAATTTGAGAGGGGAAAAATGAAGAACAAAACAACCTTAACTAAAATTTCTCCTTTTATCAAAATGGAAAGTAAGGGGGGAAAAAAACCCTTAGATATCTACACTGTCTGACACCTACCTTCTGTAGCTTTGCACAGTCAATTGTACCATTTCTGGTACTGACAAAGAAACTGCAAATAAGAAAACATAAAAATATTTAATTCTCTTACCATTTCTGTCTGTCAAAACAGAAATGTGTCAAACTAGATTCAAGACGAGAAGACTAGCTGTACTGTATCTATGTTGCCCCAACAGAAAAGCCTCCTATTTATTTCCATGGATGCTACAACAGATACAAAGAGCACCATAATATCATTTTACAGAGCAAACTCTGAGTTACAAAACACTCTTTTTCAACATAGTCACCACCAATTAACTGTGCATTTTCTCCAGCCATGAACAAGAGCCTGCGTGCCATGCTTGTAAACATCTGCACCAGCAGAGGTGACCCAGTATCACTGTTGCCCCTTCTGAAATGCACCATCCACCATCTCACTGTTCTCCCATCCGGTATGGAGACTGTTTGGTCTCCATACACATTCAGCAAGCATCAGTGATTGTAAATGGGTGACAGTTTTTCATGCACTTCCACGTCAGATGCCATTCTGCCAGACTGCCCCTCTGCTGCCATCTGTCAGATGGCAACAACACGTAACAGAACACTGTTGGAAAGGTTCAACCTCTACTGCCTTACCACTGCCCACCTCTGGCATCATGGGCCAACATAATGAAATAGGAGGCATCATTATCAAAGCATCCTTCATATAAGGAAACAGCACAAGCTGCAAAGTTGCAGAACAATACCTGTGTGGGAAGCTGAACTCGCAGGACAAGTTAGTAATACATAAATGTAACAAAAATCCATAGGAGGAAAATAGATACCTTTACATTTTGTTAACCATTATCGGCACATTAAGCCCTTGTTCTTTACAGGTAGACACTCTCAAGTCTTTCCACTGGGGATACATATAAAGAAAATATAATGAAAATATTTTCCAATCCTGATTTTTGAGGGACAGAAAATAGAAAAAAAGCAGTTACATCGTTTTCATTTCGGCAAATGCTGATTCCATTATTTTGTGCATAACAGTTTTTAAGGTGTAATTAACTTAAACTGGTGACTATTGTACTGTGGATTTCAATGGATTTTGCATCATGTTCCTAAATGTGTTTGGAAGAAGCAAGATGACTGCAGGGCACTTACAACAGTTTCTGGCAAATATTTTTCAAACTTTTAACATCACCTACTGGATTCCACATGCACTACACTTACGAGCCACAAAGGGCACATTTCATCATTTCACTGACTTATATTGGGAATAAGTAAGTAGGATGCACACACACAGTGTTTGTAAGTCATCCTTTTCTCTCTCAGTGCTGAACCAATAAACTTTTTGATCCTTTTCAAGCTAGAGCAGCATTTGCCTAGGAGCAGCAGTCGATGTCCTCCTGCACAGCACGAGATGAAGATTTTTATCCAGTTTTTAAAGTTGTGTTTTCTATTTAACAAAATTCTGTCAATAAAGAAGAGAAAACATCCTCTCACATTCTCTACTGGATTATTTTTCCGCTTGTAAATTCTAACACAAATTCCTTCTGGCTTACTCAGCATGAGGATGGGAACATAAGGGTTACTGACATCCTGTAATTTGCTGTGGCAACATAAACCAGACTATCTAGCAGTAAGTTTAGCTTAGTTTGAAGAATCAGCTACTTGTTGCGTACCATTTGTAACTTATGTGCCAGAAGAAGCAGTAGATTCACTTTAAAATGCTTAAGAATGTCAAAAATACCATCCAGAAGTGTGTGTTCTTACATTTTTCCCTAGTGGCATGTAGGCACACTTCTCTGTAACAGAACATTATATCCCACAACTACAAACTCACTGCAGTTTTGATTTCCTTAATATCTTGTGTAGTTTGGGAATGAATGAACACAAGTGCTGCCAAACTGAAAATCTAGCAATGTGAAACACTGGCCAGGGTGTTAAGTAAATAATGTGATGATGAGAAATATGATGTATGAAGGAGGCATAAGAAATAACAGGTCACCAAAAAAGAAACAACAAAGGTTGAGAGTTGTGATCATACGGAAAGAATTTGTTAGGTTACCACATGCCAGGTAACAGAGAAGCTGTTTGTGGTTAAACTCTTACACGAGTCAGTCACTGGTTGGGGCACCTGAAATAAATTTATTTTGTAGGCTAAAATAAGCTAAACAACACTCTTGTGCAGTGGGTCAAGAATGTACAAATAGGGAGTTGGACAGGCTAAGCCATCCAACCTCTTAAGTGACAGTAAATGGCTCATGAACCCATTAGCCACTCTGCACTTTCATGGGTTGTCTCGCTCATGATTAGAGTCTCTGATGAGAAGACTCTCATGACAAGTTCCCTATTGGAGAGCTTGACGTTTTTAAATATTAGAGATTGTTTTTTCTATGTATAAGAGATCATGGCAATAGTAATGGAGAGGAAACGGTATTTACGTTTCCTGATCTGTGCAACTATTTTGTTCCTGTCACAAGAAACACTGAATCTCATTACTAAAGTGGAAGATACGTTGGGGGAAATAATGCCCTTTAGAAATCTGTCAGAAAACCTTATGAAAACAAACAAACAAACAAGAAAATGCTTTGTAAACCAACTGTGGTGCTAATTGGCACTCTGTTTACTGCACATCTAAGTATATCTTTGCTTATGAATAATATATTTTGCTAAGCTAAATGTAGCCTCTGACACTTGAGGGAAGATAAAACATTGTAACAGGAGAAAAGATTAAACCATATATCATCCAACTGCATTTCTTACTTGTGAGCCTGATAAACAAGAAGTGCAAATATGGAAGCACTGAAAATATTTGGGGCTCCAAAATGCACTACAAATGTGGAATTTTTTAGAAATACATCTTGAATATATCAGATGATTTTTTCTTATGTCCTCTTTCCTAAAAAAAGATGCTCTGAATTCACTACATTCAGCAGATCTAGAAAGTAGGTGAGAACAAGTGAGAAGTTCTGAGTTCAGGTCAGGCAAGCCTGAATGCATCTTGTCATAACTTCCAGAAATCTGTGCAAATCTGTCCTAGAAACTTCCACTCCCCCAGCAGAAGGAAATCAAATCATGCCAGAAGAGAAGGCAAAACTGAGACTTTTCTGCTGAAAATCTCATTTGAGAACCTTCTCATTACAAGTGCAAAAAGGAAAAAAGGGACAGCTTATCCATGAAAATCAGCTTCTCCAAGCAGAAACCTGTGGTGTTTGATATCTTGTAGTTAAGACATATGTGACAGAAATTACAAAAGACGTTATTTACATAACCTGCCTGCTCTTGGTCTTGTAGCTTATCTCCACTTGTAGCTAGACTCTAAGATAAAAATGATTTAAAAAGATAATAAATAAATGAACAAATAAATAGTTCCCCTGAAGTATGGCTGCTCTCCTGAGAACTGATGAGGTCTGGGAGGCAGTGTGATGGGTAAGCATTGCACAGGGCACTTGGAGCACACGTAACTGAATGAGGATGGCTGGTGGGAGAAACAGAGCCATAGGCCCATGTTTTCTGCTGCTTCTGAACACCACTTATTTGAACACCACTTACCTTCTCCCTAACATACAGACGTTGGCCTCTGCTGAGATTCAAATCTTGCATTTGTGCTTAAGGCAAACCCCATGAAATTCTAGCATTCTCCATGAGTCAAGTCTGTCACTTCTGAACATAAATTTTATTAAGAATCTAATTAAATCAACTTATCCAGGAGCAGGAGTGAGAGGAATGGACGCAGAAGGCTTTTCAGTGCACCAAATAAAATATAGCTGTATTATACCTCCTAGCTGATCCCTGTCTGCACGGTGACTTGGTCATCATTAATTACAATACCTATCCTGCAATCCAAACCTCACCACACCTCCAAACAATTCTTTTTTTTAAGCTTCTCCTCACCACCAAACAAACAGACTTGAGCTGCATTGGCGGTGAATGCATGGCATCACACTGAAGAGTTCATGGAGAATACTGGTCCTTCAGGGACAAAAAGTTGAAATAGCAAAATTTTGGAAACAAAGTACATGCATGTTTGACTATGTTCAAGATTAAACTGCATCTCTCTGTGATAGCTCATTGCCTCAGGTGTGTATAACCATGGTTTCTGCCATAAATTGTGCTTGTGTGGTAGGCTACATCTCACTAGAGGATGCGGCATCATGAAATTCCCATGATGTACCAGATAGTTTAATCAGAAAGCTATCCAGACACATGATGGAAAATGTTATCCCTGGCACTGTTCTCATGAGACAGTGGATCATAAGCAAGGCATGTCAGTTAATACTGAATATTTGTGTATTGATGTAGCTCAACAAAATAGAAAGCTCTTTCTTTCGTTGAAATCAGACAAAGCAAAATATTTTGTTCTGAATTTTCAGGGAGTCACAACTTTCCTAAAGGAAGTGTCAATATTGGAGACATCATATTTCCCATTGGAGAATTGAGGCAGCAAATAATTAAGGAGTAGCACAAGCAAAAATTACAAAGAACAAGAATTCAACTGAAGATGAGTATTTTCTTCTGTAGAGTCTTCTAAGTGTAAAAATGGAAGGAGAGCACTCAAATGAAGCATTACGGGATCAGCTTATAGCAATAAATCACCTCACTGAGTTGCATAACTTTTTGGTAACTCCAGAATATATCAAAAATATTGGGAGAAGGGGTTAGTGATTTCATTTGGTAATTTTCATTTTTTTTTCAATCCAATTCGGAAAGCAAAGAAAAATCTGGAATCATTCACTTGACTTTATTATCTGCCAGCCATCCATAATTTGGAAACATCTACCAGTCCCACTGCAAATGAAAAACTAGCTATTCTGATTCTGCATGAATGCATCCTGAGGCAGTTCCTGCCATAGCTTGAAAGGGGCAGAGAGCCTGCTCTTGTGCTGAGGGAGGATCGCTGCCTCCCTTTTACCGAACAGGGGACTGCAGCACAAGCAATTCACCTTATTTGCCCAAGGCCACGCAGGAAGCAGCAGAGCAAGCAATGGGTCCCAAGCGTCCTGCTGCTCAGTTCAGTTTTTCAACCCAAAGGTAAGTAAAGATGGCTCAGAAGTATTCAGCTCTGCTCTGAAAATACTACAAACAGGCTTCTTTCCCTTCAGGTTCAACCGAAGCCACGGAGATCACCAGCTCTCAGAGGCAGAACAGGAAGGGGCAATTGCTGATCAGCAGCAGGGCTCATGCACACAAAAGACAAACCAGGAGGCATTCTTGTCACACTATTGCTACCTGGATTCAGTGGTGCTATTCTGATTTGCAGTCAAAAGACACAGAAAGGCTGCAGCATCCATCAGGCCTTTGGACTCAAGTCTTCAGAGATTTAGTTTTGACATTTAGAATAAAGACTACATGGGTTTGCAGGGTCTCTGTTGTTTTTGTTGCTGTTGTTAACACTACAAAGCAAGAGTGTTATTTTAAGATTGCCAATCTTTGCCTAGCTGTGACACTGAAAGCTCATTTCTGGTGCACTGAAGTCCAAAATCTCCAGTAAACCAGTATGTTTTCTACCTATAAAACCTATATTTTATGTTCCCTTTATAGTCAATGCAAAGAGTAGGACACTTGTACAGCAATCCTCCTACTGCAGCTGCTCTTTGGAGGTGCTTTTCTTCATGGACCAAAGCAGCAGCCTGGCCCTAGTCTAAACACAGGGCTTTGAGTTAGCTAGTGAGACAATCCCTGGTGTGATGTACTTTAACAAGCTGCACGTTAACCCAAATACAAGTAAGGACAGTAGAACAAACATGAAATGCTGGGGGAGATAAATCAAATTTTGCAAAATACACCAATTTGTTCTAGTGAAGAGAAACAAGGCAAACCACAACCTCTAGTATCATACCAAGAATCAATTTAAGTATACCTGATGCTTTTAAGTCTTTGAAACAGATTCTGAGTTGCAATTAGCAAGTTGCCATTGCATAACAGAGTTGATACAATCACTGATTTATTTTTTTGTTGTTATTTTTCAGGAGACCTGGAGGCTAATGAAGACTAATAAAAAGTCTTAATAAAGCATTGAAAGAAGGTTAACAGAGGATGGGATATACAGCATCAGCTGTGCTCAGCAGTCCTTTGGCCCTGTGGCAGAGAAAGTCTAGAGTCCATCCCACTCATAGTGTCCCAGATTCCTTTCCGTTGGTGCATTGCAGCTAAACCAGTGAGGAAAAACTGAGCTTCAGGAAGGAGAACAGGGAGAACAGAGCAGGAAATCTTGTACCCTGACAGCTGATGACAGCTGGTCCTGTTCTGTATCTTTGGTCAAAGATAACAAATCATTCCCCCCAGAGAGAGACAGCTGCTGTTATTCAGAGCAAAGGTAAATAGGTAAAAATATTCAAATTGAGCAAAGGAAGATTTTTTTATTTCTCCTGGATCAGACAAGCCTTATGCAGACAAGCCTCTCCATCACCCAAGTCAACTATGTTAAGAGGAAGCCTTGCCCTGCCTCAGGAAATGGTTCAGAGAAGTCATCATATACCCTGTACCCCCGTACCAAATCAGTACCTGCAGAAGGAAAAAATGAAATTCCCTCAATATCTTTTGGGCACCTCAGGCTCCTCCACAGGAAATGGAGCTTCCCACCTGCCAGAGAGGCTGCCAGGGAAATGCCAGGACAGCAGAAGGATTGCACAGAAAAGACAGTACTGCTTTTGTAGACTAAAGGGGAAATAATGAAGCAGAAGAACCATTTATTTATGTTAGTATGCCTCACAGAAGAGGAGATGCAGCAACACACCTTCCCAGGGCTAGAAGTCAAAGTTTAGAGCTAGTTTAATTGAAATTAGTTCATTTCCCAGCTGAGTAATCCATTGGCCTGATTCTCCATTGCCTGATGACTTGCACAGCCATTTACAGCAGGACACAACGAGAGTAAGATGCTACAATGGGATTCAACTGTAAATGACACAACATGAGAGACAATAAAGAGTTTGGCCCCAGATGTGGGAAGTACAGAGGTAACTTCCATTACATTTAATTAGTGTTATCACCATTAATTTCCTGTGCATAGACAGAAGAAGACATCCTTTTGATTTCAAATTAATTAACACATAATGATTAATCTGATAGGGTACATCTTTTCAGACAAGAGTGTCCTCTTGATCACAGTTTGGGTGCCAGTACCACTCATCATCTGTGTGTTTTAATTTCTAACTGCTCTCCAGAAGCAAATTTAGCTCTGCAAATCTGTCGATGGAATGAATGACTGGCTGGTTTCCATGTCCTGTGTGTTTTGTTCATTTGATAACACACTGAGAACATCTTGGAAATCTTTTTTTTCCCCCCCTTTTTCCCCTCCTCTACAAGGAGATTTCAAGGTAGAAACTGAGGAATCTGCATCAGCGAGCAATTTATATCAGCTCTTAACCACAGAACTATGAAATAAAAAGCTTCTAAAAATTGAAAAACACATAAACAGTTTATGGCAGGTTCCCAGACAGATTTGTCTCACTTCGGTTGCCAGAATTTAACAGAACCATTCTCCTTGCCACCAGCCATGGTAAAGTGTGTTTGTTTCACTGAAACAGGATCTTGAACTTCATCAGCTTCACACCATATTCCTCACACTGTATGACATGTACTGGATAGTGCTATTAATATTTCTTTTTCCTTTTCCACTTGCTGAGTGACTACTCATACTATTTTAATATTTATCCACTTTCTTAGATGGTTATGAATGCAAACAGATCCATATGCAGGTGCATCAATTCTTGAGTAGAGAGCCAATGGTTAACTTTAATATTGACAAATAGGCAACTAAACATGTAGTTACAGGGACATGAATTGAGAGGAAGCAGAAAATCTCAAATACTTTAGTTAAGAATGTCTTTAAGTGTCCAAGACATTCCATGTCTGTTCAGAAAATTATTCGAGCATACTTACAAGCTTTTTGGGCTTGACAGCTTAACAGTAAGTAAGCTTTTGAAAATGAACAGAAAAATAAAGAAGGTTTTTTCCACATCTAGGATGTGAAGTGTCTTATTATTGTCTTATTATTATGATGTCAATAATAGTGTATTATTGATTATATGAATTAATATTTACAGTTTCCTTTCAAGGCAAGGCAGGGCAAGACAATGCTGGGCAAGGCAAGTCAAGGCAAGGCAAGGCAAACAACAGAGCATTTTTACTACTGTCCCAATCTTTTATATGATATAGATGTGTTTGGCAATCAGGCTCAGCTATACTTTTTATGGCAGCTCTACCAAGAAGAAAAATAAAGCTTATGTTATCTATCTGCCCATCTTTGCTTCAGTAAACAAGAAGAGAGATGAGGTTGTTGCAGTGCTCTCAGGCAGGAACAGGATAACTTCTGATCTGTAGTATTACTACTTTCAGTTGCCATTTTTGGGGACAAATCACTGCTTGAAGACTGAAGGCTCTCGTCTTCCCTATGTTTTACTCAGAAATAAATGAAGATGACAAAAGTATTTTCAGTGTCATACTTGAGCCCTGACCTTGGGCAGCTAAATGAAGTTGAGGTCCCCTTTTCTCTGCCCATTAACCCGTGAGCTATTAACTGCAGCAAAATCCTAGTTGGTGCAGGAAGACAGTCATTTGTTTTATCTCTTCAACATGCCTGTCATTTGCATTGAAAGCAAGGAAGGACACACTGGTATTCAAAGTACCCCTGGAACACCCATGTGAGAACTCATAGGTAAAATACCCTTAAATGAATTGACTCCAGAGAATTAATCTTTTTTGAAAGTGCACCAGCTAGGGAAAGCTGTAATAACACTTCAAGCCCCCTCCTATGTTGGTAAATACAAATTTGGGTACATTTCTGTCTCTGTGAAGCTTTTGATAAAATTCCTGCTCAGAGGCCACAACTTAAACTTGCTCTGCTCCTTTCAAAGTAGAAGTGCTGGTGCTGGTTTGAGACTATCAGTGTTGCTCATCGTGAATACCTGCACTGGATGTCGATTTTATCATCATGTTGCATTTTAATCACAATGTAAGCTCACTCTTGATTGAGACAAAAAACAACAGATAATGCTAAATAACAATAGCCAGAATTATTTCTGCTTAAAACAATGTAGAACTGAAGAGGGAGCGAGCTGTATTTTGAGCCTCCCAGCTACATAAGGGAAAGTACATAAAATCAGTGCACAGGTTGTCACAGGCAAGGCAGCAAAACAACAATAACAGTGAAAGCAGTAACAATAGCAACAATTTTGCAGTACACTCAGCTTGAATCTGGTCCCTTTGCTAAAAATGTTTCCTGGCTGGTCAAAAGAGACAGTCTGTGAGGCTTTGAAAATATCAAAGCCCTTTACATCAAGCTCTTTTAACTGGAATTTAAACCAGCAAATAAAATATAAATGTATTTCTCCCACATATCTGACAGATCAGAAGAGGGGAAAAAGAGACTTTAAATTTTTTAACGGGTATAACAACAACAAAAAAACTGATAAGCTCCAACCTGTATGGCTTGATCCAGCTGTTAGTATTATGGAATAGTTGCAGGCTGGTGCTTCTGTGTCTCTGCTCTGCCACGAACCCAAGGTCTGAAAAACCGAGGACACAAATTGGTGCTCTTGGCTTGGCTTTCCACCTCCTTTATGTACTTATTTATTTATTTTAAGATACTAGGAAGGGCAAAGGGAGGCTGATTGCCAAGAAAGCGGTGTTTAAGTTGACAGTTTGGATAGATGACTGTTTGCTTAGCCTCTGGGCAAAGGGAAAGCAGAAATCAGGACTAGTCTAGTTTTTTAGCAACAGGAATTCTAGAAAATGACAGGATGGGAAAGCAAGGGTAGAAGAGCAAGGACAGTGATAACTGAAATAAAGGGGAAAAAAAAAAAGCCAGAAGTTGTTTTGATTGCTTCCATTTCCAAGAAATATATTGCTGTCCCTTTAACTCTCTATGCCTCATTGGCACGTGTGCCAAGGGAAGGATTGCACTTTACTAAGGAAGTAATGCAAACTTGTCTTCATTTGGTTACCATGGATATGGTACTATGTGAGACAAAGCCTTCCATTTGCATTGCAAACAACCAGGCATGATGAAGGACACCGAATTTGATATTCTGACCACAGAATGTCTCTGGTTCTTCCACGTGAGTGATCACAAGGAAAACAACCACAGCTTTGGGCCTGTGCTTGATGCCATGAAAACAAGGGTAGGGGATGCTGCTTTTCAGATCAGGATGAAGCAGAATCACACACACCTACAGAATGAATGGTGTTTCTTGTGCTACCTAGCATGAAATAGCTAACAGATAGGTGTGGCAATCAGTTGGCTTTCCAGCTTTTTCCCACGGGAAATGAGAGATGAATCACTAAGTGATTTTCGCAAATACTGGAATGAAATAGAAACTGGTTAGGTCACCCAACTGCTGGGCTTTTATACAACAATTTTGATCTAACTGAGAGTCCTCTTCATTCTGCAGAAGTACTACATGAAGTACCTTAATTTTATACAAAATCCAGTTACATGAGCAAGATGAACAGTCCCCTGAACAGACCTAGTGGGAACCAGTGCAGCACAGTTAATAGCAGAAAGGGAAATTGTCTCATTTCCCTAAAACAAATTGCAGATGATTGTTTGTCTATTAGATTGCTAGATCGTCAGTAATTCTTTTTTATTGCTTTAAGCTCTGGCAGATATATAGTCACACATCATTTTTATTTCAACTGACATGGAATACAAACAGTATGACCCTGTTTTTATGGATAGAAATGGCCAAATTGCCACTGGTCTATGTAAAAGAAAACACAACTGGATCCCAAATAATGAGCCCACATCCATGAATTGAGGGTTTTCTCTCCAAAGGATCTTAACATGGATTAACTGGAACAGTAGATCAGATGCTTGGCAAAAACACTGTTTCCTCCGTTAGCACTGGAAAGGACATCCAAGCATATCTCTGATGAGACGTGGGCAGCTATATCATCTCAGGATAATCTTCTGGACTCCCCAGCTTCAGAGAGTGGCCAACGGCCACCAGCAGCACGCAAGCAGCTTTCCTGTGACATGGAAGGTACGGACAGATCTCTGTCTGGCCTTATGCCATCATTCTGCATGGGTGCTGGGGACTAATTAGGGCCACCAAGCCTTTAGTTGTTCACCAGTGGGTCCACTAAACAACAGCTTTGCACCAATACAATTAGCTCCTGCTTTTGGTGCTCCTGCCTGGTGTTCCGCTGCCACACCTCAGCATGCTGCTGAAACTCAGGTACCACAATAGCTCAGCAATGTGCATCCCTGAGAATGCTTCCAGGGGCACACAGAAGCACTGCCAGACCATCTTCACCTACCCTGAGAATTATTTCAGGCATTCCTAGAAGCCCTAATGCTACCTTAACCACAAAGGCACAGTCTGCCCTCTGGGGAATGTGCTGCTGGGGAGGCTAATTTTAAATGCAGAAATAATTCCTCATTCCTACGGTGCCTCTGTGAGCACCATTAGATTTGATATGCATGTGCTTCAGTTTTTTCTCAACCTTTCAGACCACACCACAAGGAATTAAAGTCCGAACCCTCCTCCCTCTGCACCAGACCATGAAGTAGGTCAAGGAGGGAGAGGAAAGAGGGTGGGATTTCAAATAGCAGCAAGTACCTGGAGTGGCAGCTCATTCTGCAGCTCACCAATGCTGCCCACTCCTCAACCTCTCCCTAACCTGGTGCAGAGCTGGGAGAACACACTGCCCTGCCCCATGGGCTGGTCTCAGTACTCTTCCAGAGGCACCCTGCACCAGCAAGAGGGAAGATGTGGAAAACCATGGCACAACTTGTCACATCGGAATAAAACACGTGCAAGCCCTGACCATATGTAGGCCTCATTGAAAATGTCATATTTCATTTGCTTTTAGTCCCAACTTCTTGCCCTCCAGGCTCCTTTCCTTCCTCTGCAACAAAAAGGATTATGAAACAATTTTCTTGGCTTGGATGCACTGGCTAGCAAAAAATGCTGCAAGGCAGGCTGGATGGCAAATCTCTTGAATGACATAAGCACTCAGAGTGAGTAAGCCTGTAAAGCACTGTTTTCTTTAATGTCTGAAAATACGTTTGGGCTCAGCCCCCTGATCAATAGATAATTCTCTGTGTGTGCAGTTCACCTAGTTTATTTTATGAAAAAACAAACCCATGTTGTTGTTTTAATTCCACTAATCTTGCATAACCACCACATGTTGGTGGGATGGGAAGAGTGATGCTCCCTTCCTCCTCACATCAGCATGACTGCAAATTCTATGTAGAAATGGGGAATATATAAATTGTAGATATCTTTCTATTTTCACTGGTTTCAAGGGAGTTGCAGACAAATATCCCAGAAGAGTTAAATGACCTGCTATTTTTTTTTTCAGCACTGTTATAGCCAGAAATAACTTGACTCTTAAGGACAAGGCTAAATTTGTAGGAGTTGAATTTAGAACAGTGTTCTTTCTTTCTCTCTTTTATTATTATTTTATTTTATTTTTTCTTGATAAAACTAGGATCTTTAAGCCATAAAGGATATACCACTAGCTAACTGCACTGGCCATTGCAGTGTCATTCTTACTAGGCTCTTTTCAAAAAACAGCATCAGTGCAAACTCATTTTGCATTCACTGGTATTTAAAACAATACAGTTCAAGCCAGGATCTGGTTCTCACCAGCTTTTTGTATCTTTCCTCCACTCTTACACATGAGCTCAGATTTACTTATTTGATTAACACTGTTCAAAAAGCCTGTACTGATGATACGATGAGTATGTATTTCACTAGAGTCTTAGTAGCATTCTACCATGACAGACACTGATTCTGCTTGGTTGCAGCTACTCATACCCAATTCTGCCACACTTGATATTGAGACAGCTTTGGATAGCATTGGGTTAGTCCACCAGCTGCCTCCCTGATCTCAGTGGGAAGCCAGAACTTTGTACACACCAGCAGAGGAGAAAAGAAATCAGATGAGGCCAATCTCTTCACTTGGATGCAAGCAGGACATCTCAGGCTAGAGACACCACATGTTCACAGAAATTGCTCTGATGAACGTTTAAGCATATTCTCTTTCTCTTCAGGACAAGTTTCAACTGGTTTTACTTTCGTATGCAAGTGGACATGCTTTGCTCAAAATTACTCCTAATTTATCTAAGAGCTACTTTGGGTTCACATGTGAGCCTGCTAAAACAAACAAACAAAAAAAACCCACCAACCTGCACACTGAGAACTTGATTTGGGTTTTGTTCACAGCAGATGCTGCTAGCCATTAGGAACATTGATATTCCCTATCTGTGACCTGACACAGGACACATTGAGGGCCAGTGTTTGCTTTCCTGCGTTGATAAAAGTATGCCATGGACAGGCAGGCATGGGACTGTTAAATATATGTAAGCTGTTGTAGGCCAGATTTGTTGTCCTTTATGCAAACAGGCATGGCATTTAAACAATTGCTAATCCTACCTCAATGTTTGAGAAAACAAACTGTGTAGTCAATAAGTCCATAACTTATTCTGACTTTATACAGACCAGTAAAACTATATGGCTCAATATCTTGGATACCAATATAATTAAACGTTGTATATTTAATTACTTAATGACACAAGCTTCAATCTTCAGCTACTGGCAATGGCAGCATCCCACAAAGGTGGGCTAGTCCACTGCAAGACAAAATTATGCCTCCCTCTCTATTAGATGCATTTGCACACAGTTGAATAACAGAAAACGAATTTTGTCTTCCAAAAATGCTTCCATTGGCATCACCCTTTTGCCAGCAGAGCTTAACTGGTGGAAGCTTTCATTACAAACACCGCTTTAAAAAAGAATGAAGGAAAGTAAACAGGGCTTACCTGTGCCAGTATGGATACTGCACGCTCTAACACCCACTCGGAAGCCAGAAAACAGTTAGGTGAGGCTCTGCAGCAAGCTCTCCCATATCAGGTCAACCGCTCTGACAATCCATTGCAGTCTTCCTTATTGCTAATAGAGAGAGGGCAAACATTTGCGTAACCTGAGCTGATATTTTCATAATCCCCACCCACTCACACCAAAAAGAAACCTGTTTTTCAAAATACACTTTACTCCGTGCCACATAAGTGTTTTCAAGAATAGACATGCTCAGGAAAATTTGCATCGCTGCTTTTTTTCTTAAAGCTATGATGCAGGACATTGACACGGCACAGATTTTAGGGCCAAAGAGATGTGCTGTGTGCACTGCTGCCCAGCCAATGCCACAGGCAAACATGGCTGCACACAGGGCTGTATGCAAACATAAAACCTCTGGGAAATCTTTCGGTGTGGGGTTGACATACCCTGGGAGGAGGTCCCTGAAGCATCTAAAGTGGAGCTGCTGTAGTGTGGCTAGACTACAGCATCTCCCATTAAGGTGCTGGTATCCCTGGAAGCCAGCCTGCCCTGTGGAATTGTCAGTCAATTGCCAGGGGATGGTGGCAGCCATAGGGTTCATCAGAGCAATAAAAATTCCTGGTGCCATCACGACTCTTGGAAATGGCAGGGTGCTCTCGAACATCAATCCCAAGAACAAACAAGACTTTTAAAACAAACAGGCAAGCTAGCAAAAACAAACTCAGCACTTGAAAACTAATGAAAATAACAACACGGCCAAAGCTTACAAAGCTGCTCTCATCAGACTTGAATAAAAGTAAACAAACAGCATGACGACCCACAAATCCAACCTTGAAAAGCCACTTTCAGCAGCACAGTGTGACCAAACATGCAACTGCTATAGGCTATGCCATTTCAGCTGGGACAGATTTGAAAGTGCAAGGCCACTTTGCATGCTGCCAGAACATCAGAGATGTGAATACTGAGCATACCACCATATGGGCAGGTCTTATTTCCTCAGCCAATGACTTCCACTAAATACTTGGAAAGCATAATCTGACTTTGTCTCTACACTGCAGGCCCTGTAAAATAAGGATTCTATTAACCTGACACGTATATACCAATGTATTGAGGCACGCATACCACTTTATTCATTAATATTGTATATTCTCTAGAGTTATCTTCAGTCAGTCCTCAACAGGGCTGAAACATGTCAGTAAACTCATGCGGCAAACTCAGAAGGCAGCACTTGTGAGTCAAAAGGTGCCATCAAACAGCCGTTCAATCAGAAATCTTGACCAGAAAAGTCTTCATAATTTCTCCTTCCACATAGGGCGGAAGTTCAACGTTCATATTGATTGGGATCTATGAAACACACAGATCATGACAGTACAGTCAAGTAGGTTAATCAAACCAATACTAAGACTAGAAAAAACAAGACCAAAGGAAAATCTAATAATCCAACCTGGCGCTCTGCAAGAGCTCCTGGAGAGGAGTTAGAAACCATGCAGGAATGCAAATAAATAGCACCTTGGAGGCTACAGTATAATTAATTCAGTGCAAAAATGGAAGAAATCTTACCCTCACAAAATAATTATACTCTTCTTAGTGAAATCCCAGTCTTTTTAAGAGGAAAATTATTGCCAGTCTGGATTAGTAATTTATCTGCACCTATTTTACCTTTATTTTCTGAATATTCCATGCACCGCTGTACAAAACAGAGAACAAATTAAAGAGGCTGATAGCAATAAGCCAGTGTTACTTTTTTTCCTCCAGAGCTTTTTAATTAAGTCATACACTGTATCCTAATGTTTTTGCCACAGAGAAGATGTAGCATTTTATCATTACCATGAGAATAATTTAGTGAATATACTAAAAATTCCTTCTGTGATGGTTTTTCAAAGGACTCAGAAACTGGTTTTCAAAGACAATCTTCTGTATGTACCCCGATGAGTCAAATGGCATTTGTCAATTTTCTCTGTAGAAACCAAAAAGACAAAAACATCATGATAATATGCCCAAATATGCCCAAATTGGACATCTTATATTAGTCCAGAAGAAAGGCTGTCTTAAAGGGCTTCGTGTCAAGTTGATCAAGATGAACTATTTCTATAAAATGTTCTTGTTTTGGCAGACCAACATTTTTAATGAGGAAAACATTAAAAAAATGTTCTAACCAGCTCTATGTCTAATTCCTTTGCCTTCTTCCTGCTTTATCTCAGACTACTTTGAGGACAGTCATGTCCTGACAAAAGACACTTCTTTCTGTCAGCAAAAAGTGGTAAAAAAAATTCTGATAGTGAAATCAGGATTTTTGCCAAGCAGCAGTAAACTTCTGTTTGGATTTTCAAACAAATGTTCTGCTTCCCGTGGGAAACAACACCACGTTCACATTTGTTTCTCCATATATATTCTTTCACTTCTTACAAAGAAAGCCTTGGCTGGGGCTTGAAGGGAGGTGTACTTGGTTGTGACACTCCATCCAGGACAAATGGATGGCATTAGCTTCATATGAGCCAGAAGAGAGGATTATTCCAAAGGCCGGTTCTTAGTTAGTTATTCATTCATTGCAAAGGGGATTCAATCTCTCCCACTGCAAAGGACATGGGATTGCACCAACAAATCTGAGGTTATGTGCTCTGTAGAATGAGCGGATTTGTGCAAACACACTCATGGCTGAACTTTCCTTTTCATGTCAGTACTACTCCTGTACTCCTTCAACTGATTTCAAAGTTCAGGATATGAAGCAGCAAAGTGTGTATTTAGAATTAAGGATGGCATCCTTAATTCTAGGATTCATCGGTTTTGCTGATACAGACAGACTTGCACTTGAATTTAAGCACAAACTGAAATATTATCTTGAGGCTGGACTCCTTCAGCCACAGATTTCCTGTCAACTTTTCTTTAATATTGTGTATAGTTTTCCTTCCTCGTCTCTTCTAAAGACATCAAATAACTCAGATCCTTCAACAGAGATCTAAAATCTAAAACCACAGTCATTCTGTACAAATAAAATCTAAGAGTTTGGTTGATGACCTTAGACACTGAAGTGAAACTATTTCTCTCGGAGCTATTCCTAGAACAGAAGGCAAAAAAAAAAACCAAACCCAACATTTTTCAAAAGAGCAGTCATGAATAAGGAGAGATATGTAAGATATGTATGTGTCTATGCATCTATGAGCTTGTACAGCAGAAGGGCTCAAAGTATATTTTTCCACTCTTCTCTGTGAAGTTAGCCAGGAATATGACAAAGAACAAATCTGGATGGGGAAAGAACTAATATCAGCTCTCCTGCAGTCTACAACACAAAAGGCTCATTCTGGGCTTTTGCCCTTTATTTTTTGAACCCTTTTTCTCACATGAGATACTCCAAGTCAGAGTACTGAAGACAATTTGGGAAATCTTTTGGGAAAGAGCATATGAACAACGCATTCCCTGGAGACAGATGATAGGAAAATATCTGAAGAACTTTTTTCCCCAGTGAAATATGTTGGAACTGAGATTCGTACGAGAGTGAAACTTTCATTTACTTACTTTTTAATTTCAATATAAAGGTTGTTTGTTTTGTTGTTGTTTTCTTTTGTTTTTCTAGATTGTCTTTAAACAAGTACACTTAGAAAGACATTTCATTGCTTTCACAACCCATTTTCCCACTCTGGCACTGTATTCCAACTTAGAAACTTTGCTCAGCAACCAGAAAAGAATGGAGTTTTAAAAAATAAAACAATAAAACTTATACATGAAACCAATTGAGACAGCACTGGTATGCAGAATGGTAAGCTGGTGACTGGAAAATGGTACTATGACCTTAGGCAACATTTTCAAAACTAACATTATTCAGGAAATCTATTTGGTCATTTTTTCCTTTTTCTCCATGCTGGAGTATGGAATAATACCACTTCCTATGCAAAACTGATTGTTTTTCATTCAACGAGTCCCTTTTACAATCCCAAGTGGGTAGAAAAATGATGTTTTACAAATATAACTGAAGTGACACGTTTTTTGGTTCCTATAGAAAGACTAGAAAGACAGGGTCTTAATAAGTGCAGAATGATGATCAAACCAAACCCATCTTCTGTACAGAAAAGAGTAAAATGATTCTACTGTCACTTACTTGAATTAATTTTATCATTACAATAAATCCATTCATAATCTTAAAGGAGACAATGCTACAAGGTTGGTGACATGGTCAGAATACTCTATATAGGAGTACATATTTTTGGTTCCCTCTGTCTTTTCTTTAGTAACTCAGCATTTCTGATATCTGCTCTAACATTTACTGGGCCTATATCTTCTTAGCACTGAAGACAACTAACAATCTGATCACTCACAGCATCTCTGAAATATTCCAGTTCCTCTTAGAAGAGCACTGCAATAAAATAGACTGAAAAAGCAGGGCAAGAGCATTTGAACACACATATTTATGAAAAGGCCTGAATGATACTTGGTTAATTGAACAGATGTGCAGATTTCTACCAGCAGAGGTCATTTTCACCTTAGAGTGAGTCAAAAGAGCTCTCAATAGCTGTACTTCTATCCAAGGGAACATCTTTTAAAAAAATAGTCCCAGGTGTTCCTCGTGAAAGCAAATAATCTGAAATGGAGTGCAAGGAATATTAGAAAGCTTAAGAAACCAATCTTAATCTGAGAAAGCAAATTCAGTCTGTGCTGTGAAATATCGACAAAGCCCCAGATTTCACATTTCTTGTGCATATGGGATTGGTCAGTTTAGATAACCCTGATGGCCGAATACTTTCCCTGAGAAATTGTATTTATCTGGGAAAAAACTTGCCTATGCAACAGCAAAACTTCTTTCAAGTCTCAGCAAAAATGCAGTGGATAAATGGGAGCCATCTGCTTTCTCCCATTTTTTCCTCATGTCTACCAGTGTCATCCGTGGCTCCTTTTCCAGAAGGCCAAATCCCACCCTTGCATGCATTCGCCCACTGGCTTGACTGGAACTGAGGAGTATCTCTGACAAACCAGCTGTACATACCTGAGCAGAAACACGTGTGCCATTCAGACTAATTTCAGGCTTTGGGCTAATACATACTGATATCTGAATTTTAGGAAGGGTAGCACAATTTACATCTTTAGC